AGACCTCCTACACCCTCCTCACCATCAATTTTGGATCACTTGTGGTTCCCTTGTCTCTGGATTTGTTAACACCCACTTCCTTTCCCCTTTCCTCCCCCTCTCCCATGTTCCCCCAGAACAGTTGGTCCCGTTATTTTCTCCTCCAATTTGTTTATCCCACCTATCTTATCTAGATAGACCTGCAGAGATAATAATATCCACAAAAAACAAGATAGAGCAAAACAAAGCAACAAAGAAAAAACAACAACAACAAAACACCAAAAAAAAAGAAAGAAAAGAAAAGCCTGTAAATAATTCAAGGTCTGTTTGTTGACCTTGAGGAGTATTTTACTGTGGAGTCTGATGGGGTACCACGCCTGGCCCCACAGTCTATTTTTGGTATTCCCGGGGGACTTGTTGCTCTTCTCCCCTTGCTATTCTGTTGCACACCCTTAGTGTTTCGCCTCAGTGTGGTGGGGTCAGATCGTGTGCAATTCCTGCACTTTGTCTCCAGCGGTGTCCCTTGTAGCGCTATGATCAGTGAGGGACATCTTGTCTCCTAGTGGGGCTGGCCCTGTGGTCATCTCTGTGCTTTGGCTGCTCTGAGCAGGACTATCGTCCTCAAGGCTTGGTGGGCCAGGATGTGCTCCACTCTCTCCTCCTTCCCCTTCATTTACTCCCGGGTGCTCTGATCAGACATGTCCCTCTCCCTGAGCTGCAGCTTCAGTGTTGTTCTCTGAAGTGAATTCTTCTGCGGGGAGGGGTGGCAGTCCATGTTGTTGGGATTGGGGCCCAACCTCTCAGTTCCCTGCTTCATGCTGGCATGTTGCATTCACATCTTGGAGCACTGGGTTGAAGTCTGGTTCCCTCTTTCCCTGTGGAGATATAAACAATACCTTCCCCTTGGGTTAGTTAGTGCCCTGTTCCCCTGCTACCGGATATTTACTTTCTATTGAACCCTTGGTATCAGCTACTCTTTTTTTCCCTCCCTCTATCCACCCACCTTCATGACCCCTTGATAAATTATTATTTTCATCTTTTTTTTTTTTTTTTAACTTTCGTATACCGACCGCTGTCTCTGTTCTCCCATGGTTTCTGTTGGTCATCCCCCTGATTAGGGCTGGTGGTTGTGATTATATGTCAGTCATTGTGATCGCTTCCCCCTTCCTCCCCTTCCCTCCCCACCTTCCCTCTACCCTTGTATTGCTACTCCCATTCCTGTTCCTGGATTCCATGTGTTGTGAGCTCTTCATATACTTTCTTAAATGCTTTTGCAGTACTTGATTTCGTTTGAGCTAGGCCTTCTAGCCTGATACATATCAAATATTTAAAAGTTTCGACGAATAGTAGTGCACATTTCCTGAGTATTAACTATATGCTCAGAATATGAAGAAGATAATATACATATACTCCCACCGAGCCCATATGACAAACACAGAAATTGAGGCAGAGAGACAGTTACCACCTTTCTCGGGATCACACAGTTTGTAAATAGCACAGCCAGGATTTGAACCTTGGCAGTCTGATTCCAGACCCCATGTTCAACCAGTATGCTCAACTGCCTCCTGAAATCACATGATAGGTGATGAGTGTTCTTTCTACGCCAGGACAAACACACGTATTTTAAAGGACTTACTGGCTCCTTAAACTGACCTATAGCCGTCAGGTTGATTCCAACTAATGTTGACCCTGTGGGACAGAGTGGAACAGATCCATAGGATTTCCAAGGCAAGAATATATGGGAGCAAACATCCTCATCTTCTTGCTCAGAGTCACTGGTGGGTACAAGCTGCCCACCTTGCAGTTAGCAACCAACACCACCCCCTGTGTTACTGGGAGTCCTTTGTTATCATACCATATCCTCACAGTTTTCTTGTAGTAACTACTAGTTGAAAATGAAAATGCAATGTATTTGTTTGGTTTAAGCTCTATTTTGTTTTCATTTTGTTTCTTAGATCGGGTCTTTCATAGCAATGAAACTACCAAAAATGTGTATGAAGAAATAGCAGTTCCAATCATAGAATCTGCCATACAAGGCTACAATGGTTTGTATTTACTGCATGCTGCAGAAATAATTTCGTTTTCTGGGCCTGTTCAGCAAATGGTGACCGTTTTACATACTGTTCCTGTCTAATCTGTGTTTATGTGTTGTTTTTTGCAGGTACTATATTTGCCTATGGACAGACTGCTTCAGGAAAGACATACACTATGATGGGTTCACCAGATTACTTGGGAGTAATACCCAGAGCAATTCATGACATTTTCAAAAAAATTAAGGAGGTAAATCACCAAGTCAAATTTCTACTACGTATCAGTAAAGATTTAAATTGCGTAGCAATCCTAATATTTTTCTCTTATAATGATGAAAGGTTTATCCATGGGAAGAAATGACAGGCATAGATAGCATGGATTCTTTTTCTCACAAAATTACTTGACAGAGCTTTAAGTTGTTTCGTTCCCCTCCTATCAAAGAAGCATGCACATTAGGGAACAAGAACGCCTTACCAAAATGATCCGCTGCCTGTTGCCCTTGTCTAGATACCAGAGGTTGTGAGGGAGCAGTAACATGACCATGAGGCAATGCAAAGATAATAGGAAGGCAGAAGGGCAGAATCGGCAACTTAATTAAAGGGTTGATTTCAAATTCACTTCTTCGGTAAAATAGGAACATCTGCTATTTTGAGCTTAGGGAGTTAGACTGGATTCTTTCCTAATTCTTTATTTTTGCATACTATACTATGGTTTTCATTATTTCTGATATTTTTGTGCTTCGTGTTTTGGACTTTGTGGTTTCCTGTTTGCCTTACAAAGATAAGTTCCTTCTTTACCTTTTAATACCAGCACCTGAGCCATTTGATACTATGTTTTAATAAATGAATGTTCTGTTTTATTTTTATATACTTCTTTTTCTTCTAGTTCCCTGATAGAGAATTTCTCTTACGTGTATCATACATGGAAATATACAATGAAACCATTACAGATTTACTCTGTGACACTCGAAAAATGAAACCTTTAGTAATTCGAGAAGACTTCAATGTGAGTAATAGAGTTGATATAGCTGACTTATTAAGATTATTAACGTGTCTCCTGATTTTGTAATTTTGCAGCTTGCTTTTTTTTTTTAATCATATTATTAGGGGCTCATACAACTCTTATCACAATCCATACATACATCAATTGTGTAAAGCACATTTGTACATTCATTGCCCTC